CAAGATCCTCCCGCGTTGAAGCTGGGTCAGCTTCGATAAAGGAGGAAGAATAAAAATTAGACATAAAATTTAATTGTTTTTTGCATTAGTCGCAGCTGAATGTTGATTCGTTAAAAGACTTAGCTTAGTTATTAAAATAGAATAATTATTATTAGAGTAAGTTTGCCGTGACCTCCCTCGTTAGCCTCCAGTATTTGCTTAACGTTTCGGACAGTTGTATCACTAACCGTTATCAAGTGTAAACTAAACTTAATTCTAAGGCTACAAGGATTACATACTAGGCGACGGCGCTCATCCATGACGAAATCGAGTGTAGTCAAGCGTGAAGTTGTTCAACTAGAACGCCAGCATTATTGCGCCTTATTAGAGGTTGCCAAATTGATGGTATATCCACGCTTGGATTGCTGAAGAGGTTTTCATTGTTTCTAATGAAAACTGCTTTTTTAAATTTGCGCTTTCTGCAATGATGCTCTCTGTGAACAACCCGCGGTCTGGACCATTGGATGTTGTGTTGTTTGGTCCACATATGTTCTGCGATACCTGATTTTTGCGTTTCACCCTTCATTGTATGTTTCTTATGTTCTTCAACTCTTATTTTTAAAGGTCGTTTGGTTTCGCCAATATATGACTCTCCGCATTCACAGGGTATCTGGTAGTTACACTCTTTCTCTTGAGTCGATGTTTCAGGCTTTGTTTTTGTGAGTACACTTCTTAATGTTGATCCAGATTTAAATACAGTTTTAACTTGATATTGTTTAGCTATTCCCCTAATCTTTTCTGATATTCCTTTCACGTATGGGATCGTCAAGAGAGAAAGAGTATCTACCTCACATGGTTCTGGTGTTGTTTCCCGCTTACAGTTTGTTATTATTTTTTTAAAGATTTTTCGGAGTAACCGTTCTGAAGCAAATCTTTTTTAATATTATTCAATTCGGCATCGAGAGATACTTGGTCTCTACATATTGTGATTGCTCTTTTGCACAGTGTTTTAATTATTCCTAGTTTGGTTGCTTCAGAATGGTTAGACTCAAAATTTAGATACTGTCCTGTGTGGGTAGGTTTCCTATATACAGATGTGTTAATAGAACCATTATTTCTACTCACTGGGACGTCTAGAAACGGTAGACAGCTGTTCTTTTTTTTCTCATTAGTAAATTTAATTGATGTTCGCAAAGAATTAAGATGATTGAGAAAAGAGTCTAGCTGTCTATCGGTTCCACTCCAGGTAATGAAGGTATTGTCACCATATCGAAGCCAGATCTTAGGTTTAAGAGTTGCAGTGCTTATGGCGTGAGTTTCAAACCACTCCATGTATATGTTAGCTATCACTGGAAAGAGAGAAGAACCTATCGGCAGGCCATCATCTTGTGCGTGAAACTTATCTTTGACTTGAAAGGAAGAATTATACAGACAGCACCTCAGTCCTCGATTTTTTTGATAATATTCCTGCGTATTCATTATAACTGTGGCATTGCCCTTATCTGCTGGGAAGATCTTGATGTTTCTATCCTTCTGCAAGTTCTTAATGGCTCCTTGTTCCTCTTTGATTATATTCCTCGTCTGTTTTCTTGTTTTCTCAAGAACTGTCCGAACCTTCCACCGTAGTTCATCTGCTTCGGGTCCTTCCAGTCGCACCGTTTCAGGTATTGCAGAACATGTGTGGACCAAACCACACAACATCCAATGGTCCAGAGTGCGGGTTGTTCACAGAGAGCAGCATTGGAGAAAGCGCAAATTTGAAGAAGCAATTTTCATTAGAAACAATGAAAACATCTTCAGCAATCCAAGCGTGGATATACCAACCTTTAATAAGGCGCACCAATGCTGGCGTTCTAGTTGAACAACTTCACGCTTGACTACACCCGACTCTGTCATGGATGAGCACAGTCGCCAAGTATATAAACCTTGTAGCCTTAGAATTAATTTAGTTTACACTTGATAACGGGTAGTGATACAACTGTCTGAAATGTTGTGTAAGTTAAAAATAAAGACAATGGAAGTTCGATAACCTTTTAGTATTTCTAGCCTCCAGTACTTAGACCACAGGCAAAACGAGATCATTACCCGTTAGATATACTTTGTCGCGAAGCCACTGTGCTATTTTATAGTCTTATTGAGGTTACATACACCAGCACTTCAAAAAATATTGCATGGTAGTTAAGTTCCAATGGGCTATTGAATTACAAATAGTCTCTATTTGATACAGGACTGTTGAGTGTAGTTTGACTGCGCATATGGTACTTCGCGCTATTAATTGTGGATTCCCAAAGGCCTCCCCAGTGAGGAAATGTTGGGGGAATAAACTTCCACGTGGTGAAATCGAAAAAAGTGGTATTCTAAAATAATTCATGTATTTCTTTTAATTCACTTTTGCGCAGGAAAAATTAGCCACAGACTATTGGAAATAAGTTGCGAATTCATCAACTAAATGCGATATTCCATTGATTATTTGTGTTTTAAACGAACAAAGGACTAACATTATTTAATATTGGTGGGAATTAACATTAAATATTTACAGTCATGATCAAGCCTTAAATGTATGAACTCTCTACAACAGTATTTGTATTTGTACAGCAGTTATTAATAATCCCATATCTCAAAATCCTCAAATATTACATAAAATAAATAAGTTAACAAATAATGTTTAAATTTACAATGCATTTCAATTTCAATATCACATAGTACATGACATACCACCAACAAAACCTTGTTGAGTATCTAGTACCAAGCTCCTCTCTGTAAAGACATTTCTCATAGTAGAATGTCTGCTAAATTGCTTTCGCATAAAGGAGAAACGTACACAAAAATTAATTTTCACGACCAATTTATATCGAAAGTGGTGTCATAAATTCAAATAGAAACGCGATTCGGAGTGACAACGGGATTTGTAACACGACGGACGTACAAACCATTTCCGCAATAACCGCAGGAACGTTTCGCAGGATTTCACGATTTTAAATTCCCACTGAAAGATATTTTATCTTTAACGATCGAAATAACTTCTCTCGGGTCGAGCTGAGAAATTATGTGGCAACTTTGTTACATTTTGAGGATTTTTCCGTTCTTTCTTATCGAAACTTTGAAATGCGGCAAAAGTTGGAAATCCGTCTGGAAAAACCACACTACTATATTCGAAATTTAATGAATGAAGGTAGAAAAGTTAGCGGACAGCTTCTAAAAGTTACGTGTCCTGCATAGTGCTAGTGGGATATTGCAGTAACATTCATAATTCAAAAGGTATATCAGCTTATTGTCGCAAGACTTTAAGAATCGGCAAAACGATAAAAATCAAGAAAAATCACTACTATAATTACGATACTAATAAACTGGTTTTGTAGCTATTTTAGACCACTTACCATCTTACAGTTTCGTTGATAGCTTGAAAACTCTTATGGGCCACCATACGAAAAATATGGATATTCCTAGGCAAAGCATAACCGTACTTACTACACTTTTGCAATTGTTTGCTGACTCCTAAAATACTTGAGAAGTATAAAAAAGTGCCGAAGATAGCAGAAGAGAATATATATATATATATATATATATATATATATATATATATATATATATATATATATATATATATATATATATATATATACATATATATATATATATATATACATATATATAAATATATATATATATATATATATATATATATATATATATATATATATATATATATATATATATATATATATATATATATATATATATATATATATATATATATATATATATATATATATATATATATATATATATAAACTAGCCAAAACTAGATTACCCGCTAATCACTAAGTTAATGGTTCTTCTAACTTAAGTCATGGTTTGAATATTAAAATATTAAAATAGATATGGAAAATATAATATCATTAGGTAGATGTTGAATAATAGTATATTATGCAACAAGTGCGGTAAACGGCATTTGACTCACCAGTTTGTCACGAGCGAAGCGAGTGTTTAATAAACGAGTGAGTTTAAAAGTCTACCGAACGTGTAGCATACTATACTTTTTCTACGAGCGTTAGTTTTTAGGTACATTTTCGCAAAACAGGAATGCATTCACTGACATGACCGTCAGAATTGACAAACGTCAAAATTCTAAGCTTGGGAAATATCTCCGAAAACATCCGATTGCTCCCAAACCCGTGCGGTAAAATCCCGGAAATGTCCGAAGTGGCTCGAATTCGTGGAAAACGAATCTGACGTGGTCAAGTGACGCTTCCCGCACGCTAGATCGGTGCGTAATAAAGTATTTTACAGACAGGAGTAGAAAAATAATTTTTCCCACGCTTTCAATTTTGACGTTTGTCAATTCTGACGGCTATGTCAGTGAATATATTCGTTTTGTCTTTCGAAAATGCACCCAAAAACTAACGGTCGTAGAAAAAATATAGTGTGCAACACGTTCGCTAAAATTTCTAAGTCACTCGTTTATTATACACTCGGTCCGCTCGTGTCAAATAAACTTATGAGTCAAATGTACATACCGCACTTGTTGCATAATATACTAACTATTAAAATTCTTCTGAGAAGCGCTTATATTTTTGGTAATTATAAGTTTCTTATACGCAATAGGAGTAGTTTAAGTAATAAGTTCCGAATGTGCCATTTGCCTTTAAGTACATTTTTAAAACCTACTCAATGTTGTACCATCGACAAATTATTAATTTTTTTACACGTTTATCTCGTTTATTAAACCGCTCCTTCCAAATAAACTCGTGACTCAAATGGCGTTTAACACACTTGTTGCATAATATACTACGTTAGCTTTATTTTACGCCAGTGTCTCCGGCGATATCCATAGCATAGCTGCCAATATGTTGACAGATTTAAGTCCGATTTCTTTTTCCTATATCTTTAAAATTTTCACGGCATAATGAACTCTCCCGGCAAAGAATTACATATTTTCTAAAGAAGATGTAGATTTGTTTTACGAAAGCATTATTTCGTGTGTTATTATTTTTTTCACTTTGAAGGTTATATTGTTTCAGGTGTCGTTCTTTTCCACGAGCCCTGAGCTGAGCAACAAACAGCGTTTCGAGTATTTTTCGCGGACAATTCCGTCGGATCATTATCAAGTGAAGGCTATGGTGGACATCGTTCTTCAAATGGAATGGAGTTACATTTCAATAATTTACGAGGAGTCAAACTACGGAATTAAAGTAAGTGAGTCATTCATTTAGTGATATAATTTGGATCAACTACACTTTTTACAAAACTTCAGGATTCCTTCTGCGTCGGTTTTTGTTGAGTCGAAATTGCTAACGTTTGGCCATTCATCCTGTTTGCTTCTTCAGAGCTTGACTGAAACTGGCTCTCATTTCACTCTATACCTGCTTATGTATTGTTTGAGGGGGGCGGAGTTAAATGAGGGGCATAAACACCCTCTCGGATGACTGATTCCCATATTGGTGAGTCGCGGTTAAGGTTATTAGATTGCTTATAGATTTCTATAGACTCTAGATAGTAGAAGAATTTATTACATGCAAGAATTTTAGCGTTTTCGGCAACAGCAGAAAAGTTTATCATGTTCTTTGAGCCCAGTTGGTATTTTTCGTCCGGTCTCTTGAATATATTCTTTGCAGCAAATGCATGGCAATGCTGTAAACTCCTGGCATCTCAAATGGAATTTTGTCTTTGACGGATCGAAGATGTAGTAACTCTGGTTATATTTCTTTAGAACTTTTAATATGTGGTCAGTGATGTTTTGAATGTAATGAAGTGGGGGTTATTTTCGACATCATTGCTATTGGAAGGTGGTGGTGAAGTGTATTTTGTGATGGAACGCCTAATATCATTAATGTGGAAATTATTAGAGAGAAGAGCAGAGGTAAAGTGTTTTAATTCTGGGTTCAGTGACTCTGGCTGAGATAGTTTTACGACTCTGTAAAGAAGAGAGATGATAACAAATGATTTTTGGGCCAGATGGTGATGTTACAATGCATTAGCTATCGATCTGTGTCCGTAGGATTTCAATAAACACAATGACCCAATGTTAGGTCTAATTTTCTATTAATAAGAATATCTAAGAATGGAAGGTTATTAATAGTTTCTAATTCAATGGTAAAACGTATGTTAGGGTATATAGAGTTTAAAAGTCTAAGAAAATCTACTAAGGATGAGCCAAATAACAAAAATATCATCAACGTAGTGTTTCTATAATTTTGGTTTAGATTTAGATAAAAGGTGTCGAGAGCTTTCTTCTCAAAGGGTTCCATAAATATATTCGCGATAACTTGTGACGTTTGTTCAAAAATTAATAGGGACTATAGTAAAGAGGGATTCTACGTCGAAACTAACCAGAATATCTTATGTATCTAATGAAATGCTTTTTTAATTGTCCAGTAAAGAACTAAGTACGAAGCTATCAGTTTTCTCTGTAAAAGGTTTTAATAAATAAATGTAATAAACGGTGGTGGCAATAGCTCAAAGGGGTTTGTGAATCTTTGGGAATCCGAAGAGACGAGGAATTTTAGAGTCATGAGGGGTGAAAGACTTTTTCACGGAGTCTGATAAAGAAGAAGCCTTAATAACAGATTTAAGGTTGCGTTCCATAGATGACGTAGAATCTTTTTTAAGTTGAAGATATGATCCGTCTGTAAGAATATATTTAATCTTTTCCTGATATTCATTTGTGTTCATGACCACGGTAGCATTTCCGTTATCTGCTTTTAAGATTACAATGTCGGGATTAGATTTTAAAAATTTTAGGGCAACCTGAACGCACCTTACCTCTGCTCATCTCCCTAATAATTTCGATATTAAAGATATTAAGCGTTCCATAGGCCGAAAACAATCTCACACTTGCCCCTTACTGCCATTCCTTACATTCAAAACAAGACTGACCGCATATCAAAAACTTTAAAGAATTATAACGTCATAACCAGATTTTCTATTTGTCCAAAAATCTCTCAATATCTTGGATCCATCAAAGACAAAATTCTATTTGAGATTCCAGGAGTTTACAGCATTCCATGCACAAGCGACAAGAGATTGAAGAGGCCGGACGAAAAATATCAACTAGGTTAAAGAACATGAAAAAGCCTTAAGACTAAAACAAATAAACTCAGTTGCCATCCATTCTTCTGCCGTCGAAAAATCCGAGAATCTATAGAAACCTATAAGTAACCTAACAATCTTAACCGCGACTCAGGTCTCAACCTGTCACCAATATGGAAATCAATCAACCCAGGCGGTGTTTATGCCCCTCATTTAGCTCCGCCCCCTCAAACAATATATAAGCAGCTACAGAGTAAAATGCGAGCCAGTTTCAGTTAAGCCTGGAAGAAGAAAAACAGGATGATTGGCGAAACGTTAGCAAGTTCGACTCAACAAAAACTGACCCAGAAGTTTTGTAGAAAGTATTACAGTAGCCTGTGGAAGTTTCATTTGAAAAATGGATCAACTATACTTTTAATGCATTCTCATTTCTTGTAATCAATATGCAAACTAAAAAAGTTGCTAATTCAAAACGCTTGTTTTTTATATAGCCAACTTCTTTTTGAATTTGATTGAGAATTTGAAGTATCCTCTATAAATATATCGATAGGCCTAGTTCCATTCACTAAGTATATGAAACCAGCGTGTGCGGTTTTCTTAATATCGGCCAATTCTTCTAGGTACGAAAAAAAAGGGGAAAGTCGTTGATCTCAAGCGTCTTCTCTTATTCACTGCGTTCTTTGGCTCCACGGATTAACAGTAACAAACAAAAGTTTGGGACTAAACGAATTTTGCGGGAAAGGAAACGTTATTTCCAGGTACACCTTCGCGTGATTTGATTTTCCCCGGAAAGCTTTTTTACTTTTTTGCCTCGGTTGGGTAACGATGTAATCCTTTTGTTTGCCTACACGGAAAAAGGGATACTTAAATTGGAGGCGTATACTTTTGATTTTCTATGTAAATTGCCTTTTGCAAAGAAGGTTTTTTTTTATGTTTTCTCATCGTCCGAAAATATCTTATTATCTGCAAATAACTACGAAACAAAATCTGTTTATTAGAAAGATACGCAATTTCTAAACCAATCAGAAATAATAAAACATTATTTTTACTTTCATTTTAGCCTCATGGTTTATTTTCGTAGTTTATACCGATTCTTAAAAGTTAACTCATAATTTTAAATCGTTATTATAAGTGCAACTTCCTAAGAAAAAAAGCTTTTGAGTATCTCGTTGTGATATTGCAATAGAGTTAATTAATTAAATAAAAAAATAATAAACAAATTCCTAATTAAAACCAACCAATCCGCATTTGAGATTTTTAATATAATAACCAACGTTAATAAATAGATAATAACAATTCACATCAAGTGACGTTACTATGTAAAGTAACATTAAAAAAATATTTTGAAGATATTCTTTGTTTTAAACATCTGAAAAACGGTGACCCAGAAGAATCGAGTTCTTAGTCTGCGTAATTCGCGTAAATTTAAAGAATAACGACAGCATTGGATCGGATCAAGGGGACCGAATATAGACGATATGTACCTAGTCGTAATATTCTATGGTTATCTGCCCAGAACAGCTGTGGGTGCAGTTTTGTTAAGATAATAACAGATGAAAAATGAGAGAGAGTGCACATAAACATCATTTTAAACTGTTCACACACACACACACACGTTTTCTGTATATATTTTTTTAATGAATGGAAGTTATTGAATTACACCACTATCATTCTGCTGAACAAATTTCAAGGAAAAAGCTATGCAGTGACATGAAAAAACATATTTTTTTATTGTATGTTTTATTTAATGTCTTTTGTCTCCTGCAATTTTTTTATTAATACCGTCTCCAAATAAAATAATAAAAGCTAAAGCAATGTATTTTATGTACAGGATATCGAAGACCTAAGAAATCGGATATTTGCTTATTGTGTTGTCATAATAACTATATTACGGACTCAATGTACAAAATTTTGGGTTTGGTTTCGACTTGGGTGGTCTAGGTGTTTATTTGTTTTTATTAAGAACATATTTATTCATAGTGTACGCATGGTACAAAATACAACTGTAAAATATTTTTTTCGACGTGCAATGCGTTAGATTTAATTTTTTTATTTGAAAACTGCTTTATGAAAAAATTGCAGTAAACAAAAATTTTCCAATAACACCCTACTATTAAAACTTATTTTTTCCCATGTCATTGTGCAAACTTCTCTTCAAACTTTAAACTCGTTATTTTTTTTAAACAAGATCAAACTAATTCAATCCTCTCCCACTCGTGTAAAGCAAATCGATATCAACTTCCAATACTTGGTACTCTTTAAGGTATTCGGTTTTTTAAAAATAAACATTTTGACGAGGAAAACCTCAGCAACAAATGCAGAATGAGCAGCAATTTCCAACTTTGCCAACAACCATTGGAAAATTACTATAATTCTAATTTTAAACACTATGGTAAAGTTAGGTTAAATTCTCCTCCGTCTGCCTTCCACTCTCGAGACCTTTGACAATTATCAAACAATATACGACTACAGAATATACCTAAGACCACTAAGTTTTACAGTTCAACGTATAACTCTCTCGCATATAGTATTTTTCCGCCTATACTAAATTCAATACTTTTACACAAAAACTTCTTAATATTCAAACGTAAGCATGTAGGCAAAAGCAAATCAAAGCTATACGCTCACTTTCCCGACAACTTTTCGCTGAGCAGGTTATACAAATTAAGTTTCCCCGTTTCGCTTCTCGTTCGTATAGAGAAATACGTGTTCCCGGCCCGATTCCGCGGAAACCTAAAATCACGAATGCAATTTTAAGGGATTGCATGTCTTTTATTCTACCCCAAACTGGATATTGCTACTTTTTATTCTGCATTGTTCGTTTGTACGTGAATTGAAACACGAAATTTTACTCATGGAATTTTGCGAAGCAAGTAACAGGCGGCGCATTAAATTGTTGCAATGGAGCCGGCGAGCGCTCTTAGTTTATCGAAAAAAGATAGCTCACCGCAATTTTTATTGCATCAAGAGTTGCAGCCGGCTGTGATTATTTTTTTAGCAAAAATATTAACTGTTGGGCGCACGAAAAATATTACTCAAGCCGAGAATATAAAATAGTATTTTTTACTTGCTTTTAGAAAAGGTTGGTAGGGTTGGGGAATTGACCGGTCAATTTTTTTTTGTGTCATTCGATCAGTCATTGACCGAAATTTTATAAATACAA